TTTTTTTTCAGCTTATGGAAAATATGGACTACTATTTTCCATTAGGTATTTCATTTTTAAATTTTTGTTTGTTTTATTGATACTTTTTGTTAAATTTTTATTTTATTCCAGTCGAATGGGTCAAATTCAATAATATTTTGTTTTTTACCTGATCTGAATTATCGTGTTTATATTATTGTCTTACCTAGTTAAGTTATGCATAAACTAGTTTTTGTCATTCAGTAGCGCACCTAGAATTTTCCTCTGGGGGAGTTTGGTTGGGCACCGAATTTTTTTTATGCTCCCTCCACCATTTTAAGACCTTAAAATTTGTAAATAACAGTGTTGAAATAGGGTCCTGGGGGAGGTTTAACCCCAAAACCCCCCTGGGTGCGCCACTGTCTCATTGTTTTCTTTTATTTCTGTTCGGTAAGTTTGTCTTAAAAAAAGTTTAAAATAAATAATTATAGGGTACGGGAAAGTGTTGTACAGTTGCGATCACGGAATAGTTTATACCTTACTTTTTATATTGTAATACTGTAAAATTGCAGTGTCGTACAGATTTGATAAATGTCAAAGTCAAAAAATTTCAAAACGTCAATGCTTTCGCGAGTGTTCAACAATAAAATAAAAGTATATTAAACTCTTCCAAAATGGTTAGAATACATTTGAATTATGCGCAAAAAGCAAGAGCAATTGCCAAACTCGAAGAAGGTTGGTCACTAAGGCAAGTTGCTGCTGATTTGAACGTGAGTCATATGTGCATATGGAAGATTAAACAAAGATGGGATAATTTTCACTCTATAGCACGATTGGGCGGTTCAGGAGGGCAGAAGATTTCCACAGATCAACAGGATGAGATGTTAGTAGATTATTTGAGAGAATCTCCTTTTGCCACAGCTCAAAAGGCAAGAGAAGAGGCAGCGTTTCCAGGCAGTATTCGCACTGCACGTCGAAGAATTAAAGCAAGTGGACTGCTAAATTGTGTAGCTGCACGGAAACCTTTTTTGACTGAGGATCACAAGAGGAGACGAGTTGAATTTTGTAATGAATTTATAAACCGCGATGAGAATTTTTGGTCTAGGGTTGTATTTTCTGATGAAAAAGTATTTCAGTCGTATAATAATGGTCGAATAAGAGTTTATAGGCCGAGAAATCATAGGTATGATGAACAGTATACGCATCATTTAAGAAATAGTGGAGGATTCTCTGTCAACGTATGGGGATGGATAAGTGCCGAAGGCCCGGGCGTTTGTTATCATGTAGAGGAGAAGTTAACAGGATTATATTACAAACATATTATTGAGCACACAATGTTGCCATCGGTGATCCAGAGATTCCCCAACAACGACTTTATCTTCCAACATGACAATTGCCCGATACGAGTAGAATTGTTCGAGAATGGCTAGAAGAAACTGATGTTAATGTTCTTCCGTGGCCTTCCCGTAGTGCAGACTTTAACCCCGTCGAAAATGTGTGGGCAGAGTTAACAAAGAAACTAAATGAAAGAAACCTTAGACCACGGAATAGAATTGAATTATGGGAAGCAATTGAGCAGGCATGGGAAAAGCTTGTTAACTATAACATGAGGGGATTGGTGCTATCTATGAACAGAAGACTGCAAAATTGTATTGACAAGAATGGGGCTTCCACCAAATATTAATTATTATTTATCATTGTTTATCGTTATTTAATATAAAATAGATTTAAAATAAAATGCATATTAAAAAAAAAGACCTCTTTATTTTCGTTATTAAGATCATAATCCATTTTATTCAAAAAACTGTTTTCTATATTTTTCATTTTGTAAAATATTTTGATATTTTAATTTTAATCTACCTATTCTAGCTAGTACACCACTGGCAACGTCACTTTGACGTAAAAGGTGCGTTTAAACGAAGTAAAAATTAAAAAAATGGGCTCCTAGATACGTGAACCTGTAAACTATTCCGTGACCGCAACTGTACCTTTGAGCAAATTTCATGTCGTTTGGCTCAAAATTTTTAAAAATTGCTTTATAGCGACCATTGAAACATACAGAAGTAGATACAACCTTTATCTATAAATGACAAAGTATAGGTCTATGGATTCGTTTCAGTTACCTTTTAAAAAACATTTTGAAATTTTTTTGACAGGTCGTCCAAAGGTACGACACTGTGTTGTACCTTTGTCCACATTATGTTGTACCTGTAGTCAGAGAACAAATTACCTTCGATTAAGAAGAAACAATACAAACAAACGGAATCTTATTTATTATATGAATTATAAGAGGACAAACATGATTACTTTGCATTGTATGTATCTGGTGAAGGCAGTTTTTTTATTATGTCGCCTTCGGAGACACAAGAGACTTCCTCATCTGAATAGACAAATTTATTGCTTCCAAAACTGTTTTTAAATATTTGACCATATATTCTTCATCTAAAACCTCAACTATCTTGCCAACATAGTGTGCAATATTCTTTTTACTGGCCAATTTTACGAGAACAAAATCACCTTCTTTTAAATTAGAAGAGCTCAGTATTTCTTCACTTTCCTGTTGCTCGAATAAATAATTTTCATTTTCTTTTCCCATTTTCCCAGAAAAGTTTCTAAATTCTTCTTCTTATATTCTTCATCTCTTCATCAGATTATTTTGAACTATCGCAGAGAACCTTCCTTTTGACTGACTTTGGTTTTTTCACCTTACTTTGCTATAGTTCCTCTTTCTCCGGGGTGTCTCAAAATTCTTGTTTTACCACGCTTTCGTATTAGTAACACTTTTTTGCTCTCTCGGCTTAACGTGAGCTATAAAATGCTGTAAGTAGTGTAAAAAAGCTTCTCGTTTGACCATCCTGATGGATTTGCGCCTCCAATTGAAGCCGATGGTACACCATATAACATGGGGTCCTTGAAAAACACGCGAGGGAATATCAACATAGGCGGCACATGATTACCGATGGCATTAACCGCAGCAATCAAAGTTACATTTCCCTCTATATAACAACTCTAGAAATCGTAGAAAAAAGACAGGATATCGTATTGAAAAATCGTCAAGTGACTGCAAGAGATTTAGTAGAAGCCCTAGTCACCTCATTGGACAGTGTAAGAAATATTTTAATTGAAGTATTGGGTTTCAGAAAACTGTGTTCACAATGAGTGCTACATTCGTTAACAATAGAACAAAATAACATTTAGAACATTTTCGAAAGTATATAGTGGATTTTGTCGGTTCATCAATATGGATGAGACTTGAGTATATCATCAGGATTCTGAATTAAAACAAAGAGTAGTGTGAACCTGGTTCTTTGCGACAGAAAAACGAAAAAATGAAAATAAAAGACAAAACTGTACAAGGAGCGACAAGAAAGTACGTCCGACACAATTCTTCAAAATTATATGGTTGCCACTGAGGGAGCAAAAATAGCTAAAGCAGGAGCACATAAAAATCCATATGAATAACTTGATAGTAAAGAAGGTGAAGCTTAAGTATATAAAACAGTTAAACATAAGACAATCACGAAAATAATAAAATATAAGTGCCGAAAAATGGTATCAAAATAACATGAAAAAATCCTTTTATTCCATTGATACATTTTTTAGGCCCTAACGTACATTTTCAGAGAACGAAATTTTATTTGTTTGATATTTTAAATGGTAGGTTTAAACATGAGTTCAAGTTTGTGGAGTCGCCACTCTTGTCCCCCGGTCACTATCTTGGAAAAAGGGGTCAAAGGGTTTTCGCGTTGTATCCCATAAACTAGCAGCCCTACAGAAAATTGTATCAAACATTATTTGTAGAAAATTAAATATTTTTAGTTTAATTTTCTAACTTTTTGCGGTAATTGTAAAATAAAAAAGTTAGAACAAACAATTGTTAAAACAAAAATATCTATAAATAAACTGACATTACAGCAATACCATAGATGGTTTTTCAATGAAAAACCCAATACAGAGACTACTTTTTCACTACAAATTTGTTTTATTTCATGAATTTATCTGGAACTTAGAGTGCTCTGAAGTTGACCGGCTTTTTGAATACTCGTAAAAATACGATAAAAACGAATCAGTAGGTTTATTTTCTAATTTTTATATATTTCTAATAATCCTATGTTATAATTAATTTATTATCGATCTTTTTCCCCACAATAAAATGGTTTTTATAATAATTTCTAATCAGTGCACATTTCCTGATTATATGAGTGTACTCTCATCTCATAATTTTACCGTAAATCGCCCCGAATTAATTTGTATTACATATAGTAATGACATAATCATTTTTAAAATTATAAATTGTCATGACCCTATTTAAATAGTAGAAGGATTGCTAAGTTACACCCTTTATATATGCCACAATTTTGTATCTCCTTTATATACGCCTCAAAGCAGATGGCGCTATTTAAATAGTAGAAGGATTGATAAGTTACATCCTTAATTTATGGCAAAAATTTTTTATCTCCTTTATAAATCCAAATAGCAGATTACCTACAACTGCATCATTTGCAGGCATGAAGAAACCATAAAAGCTTATCAATAAAAAAACATAATCAAGACAATCAAATAGCCAAAATGACAAACATAATTAAAATGTCACCATTCTGTACTATCGTTACGAAATAGGTAAATCTTGCCATTATGTGTTATAATGTGTTTCGTCATTTAGACTCGAATAGAGGAAAGTAAGACAATATCTTTCAAATATAACATAAAGACATAATTGTACATCCACGAACTATCTACGCCATAATCTATGACACGCGAATCTGTGGATATCAGCGATTTCATGATACCACATAAAGAAAAAGGGAGAAAGGGCGTACCCTATAACCGAATCAATTTACCGGTTTCGATAATGATTGCAGCAGACACCACACTACAACTCAATAAAAGCTCATAATATATCGAGTTAGAGACCCCTGCTCCGCAATACTGTCTCTAATGTTACAGGGTGGTTCTGTTTCTAAAAGATATTACAAGGGAAAACAACTGGGTATACACCAATTTTCTAAAAATTAAGGAAATAGTAAAAAGTATTAATATTTATGGCTTTATTACAAATTTTCATATATCTAGACACTCATAATCAGTCAGGTAGTAGCGCTTCTTGCTGATGATTGAAGTTAACTGACTCTCCTGGTCGATGCGTTTACTTTTTATAGCCGCCAGGCTTCTTGTGATTGCTCCTGTCCTAATTGTTTTTTTTAATACCGTTTTCCATGTTGTTGAAAACCTTTGAGCATCATCTCTTTGGTTTAAATTGTTGGTTTTTTTCTATTTCTATTGATTCTCTGATTTCGCGTTTCTTTTTAATTTCAATTTAAGCTTGCATCGTAGTTTGGTTCAGGGCTATTGTATGTCATGGGTTTAAGACATGTTGAGCAAGGGACGATGGTTTGTCTTTCCTTGAGATGACATTTCGATGTTCTTCTCGTCTAACATTGATTTTTCGGTTGGTCTGTCCAAAGTTCGATTTGTTACAGTCCCCACATGGAATCTCGTATACTCCTTGATTTTCTAACAATATTTTTGTTTTGGCAAATGGTAAAATGGTTGAGATTTTTCTGTTGGTATTAAATATCGTTTCTATTTTGTGTTTTCTCAGCACTCTCCCTATTTTTTCTGTTGTATCCTTTACATATGGTAGAATGGCTTTTGCAATCGTTTTTTCCTCTTCTGTTGGATTAATTATTTTTTGAGCATTATGAGCATTTTCAATGGTATATGTTGAAAGCCGCATTATGCATTTCTTTATTTATATGTTTTTCTCCTGTCAGTCTTTTGGATCGTGTCATCAGGGTTTTAATGACTGAATGTACTTGGGCAGGATGCTAATGTGAATCGGTATATCTGTCGGTATGTGTGGGTTTTCCTTCCTTCCTTCTTTATTATTAACTCATCTAAAAATGGTAGTTATTCGTTTTCTTCCAGTTCCATAGTAAACTGGATTTTATGATGTATATTATTGATGACAGTGGTAAACCCATCGGTGATCCTTCAACTTATTTATATCTTTGCTTCTTATAGATGAAATAGGTGTTATTTAGCAGTGTTTTGTTAGATTTAGAGGATTCTTTGGTATTGGATACTTTCTGCTTATAATTTCTAATGATTCATCTATAGGAAAATTCGTAAAAAGCGAAACCACATCGAAGCTGACTAACAAAGGTCCCAAGTCAAGAGTCACATCTTTTATACGTTCGATGAAGTGGTTTTCATTCCTGACGTAAGAATCCGCTTCTGCATATAGTTGTAGCTGTTTAGCCAGAAATGTTGCCAGTGGTTGTAGAGGAGATCCGATAGAAGTAACTATTGGTCACAATGGCAATCCTGCCTTATGTACCTTAGATAGGCTGTAAAGTTTTTACATCTTGACAACTTCTCTCTAGGTATGTGATGTAACTGATGTTCTTTCTTGATGTTTGAGGCTTTGATCTTGGCTTTTGTTACTTTTTCTAGATATGTAGCGGGGTCTGAAGAGATTCTTTGATATGTCGTATCGTTTTGATGTTGTTTTTTTATTTATATAAAATCACACCAATCTCATAGCTCAATCTCCCGAGCCCCCAGACACTACTACACTGATCACTAAGCAGTAATGCATTGATTAGTGGTACAGGGTGTGTACAGATTAGTGTCTGGAGCTCGATAGACTGAGACCTTGGAAGCCCTGAAGAAGACATTAGAGAGGATGTCGAAAGCTTGGCGCAGTGATAATCGACGCGGTTCAATCCGGAAACTTGTTGAGTTTAATATTAATTCTTGTATCAGTTTTAATCTTAATGCACTTTTACTCACAGCGGATCAGTTAAATACAAAAGAAGGGATAAATGGGTAGCAGCTGAATTAGTAAAGCTAATAGTACTCTTTTTTCAATAATTAAATATATTTCGGTATTCTTTATAACATTGTCTTCTTCTTCTTCTTCTTCTTCAAGTGCCATCTGTGCGGCAGAGGTCGGCAATCATTAGCAGAAGCTATTCGGACTTTTGAGACGGCTGCTCTGAAAAGTTCATTTGATGTACATCCGTACCACTCTCTTAGGTTGCGCAGCCCTGACATTCTACGCTTCCCTATGCTTCCCTTTCTGATAACATAGCATTCTTTTTTAATATAATATTCTTTTTTCTTATTCTAAAGTTGGCTTCTGTAGTAAGTGAGCTTTTAAAAGAGGAAAATACAGCTTTTATTTATTAATATTTTTTGTCAAGTTAATGAATTTGCTTATATAATTTTTCTAGCAACATTTATTATAGAGGTTATGATTTGTTTTTTTCCACCGTTGCGTTGTGAATTTGACCGTTAAACTAATTTTCTCTAACTTTCACAAGTTTTTAGCTTATCTGCGTAACATATTGTTAGTTTTATAGTTTTGTCACAGAGTTTTATAGTTTATTCACATATTTTTTCGACACATACTTGTGTGTCTCAGTAGACATTAATTGTTAATTACCATTTGATGTAATATTTAAACAACTTTATGATTATAAATTCTATATTATCATAACACAAATATTGAGAATTTTATCGAAATATTTTATTTTCAGGATTATGTGCCAAACCCATAGAACCTTATTATGGAAGAAAAATAGGAAGATTAGTCGAATTCGCCCACGGTATAAAAGGAACTGCATACGCGGTAGATGAGAGTACGATATTCATCAAAGGATTTTATTATGACGGCACTGGTCCAGACGCTTTCTTCTGGATCGGCAATTCTCCAAGGCCTAGTCCAGAGGGAATAATCATACCATATCCGGAAGACTACAATGGCAGGTAATATAAAGAATTATTTAATGATTTTTTATTGATTGCTTTTATTACACCATGAATGGCTTATACCGACGAAGAATAGTTTAATTCTGTAATATTAAATGATGTTGGTGATATTGTAACGTTATAAACGTCACATCTCTATTAATTTATATTTAAATAATTATTTTATTTTAATTTCTGTGGTAATTTGTTAATTTGTTTATCTTAAGTAAATTTTTACTATTTTTTTTTATTTAAAAAATAGTTGGCGCCCTCTATTTCTTTCCTTGTTTTCATTTCTTCCTCTGTCTTAGCATTATCTTTTATTATTTTATCTCTTTATATTTTGATATTTGTCTAGATATGATAAACATATTAATTTTATTTATTTGACTGTTTAATTGTTTTTTAATTGTTTTTGATTTTGATTCAATTAAAAGCCTCATCCAGCACTTTATGTATGACAACATGGTTTGTTGCATACATGGTGTTTTAGTTTTCCTAGGATGCATATATCCTAAGGAGATTTTGGGCCAGATTATATGAATCTGTGTTCCTTTTTGGTCTTTTAGAGACAATTAATATACCATAGTAGGTATATTTATATTTCTTTTTGATGATGTTTTTTTTCTTATTTCTTTTGGAGTTAATAAATAATTCTAAAATAATTCTATGCATCTACTTATAGAAATCTGGTGTAGAATTATGGCGCTTTGAAGTTTGATTGTAGTATACCTACTTTCACTTGTTTTCTTCTATCTTTTGTAAACTATATTTATGTATTTCTTATGTATCACTATCTTATTTTCATTATTAACTTACTCTTAGTCTTCTAAAACTTGTTTTATGCAGTTACTATATCTCTTTTGTGTAAAACTTTGTCTTATTTGACATATCAAGTAAAGTTTATATGTATTTTTGAGTTGTTTATCAATAATTACATTTACATATCAATTTCTATGTGCTTTTACTTATATTATAACTTTGATATTATTGTTACCTTACTTTAGGTACTCAGTTAGGTACTGAGTACTAATTTTTTTGAGATTAATTCATTAGCAGTGTTCATTAACTATTCATTTTTGTGAGATATAATCTCTATAATATATATTTACCTAACTTTGCTTATTTGCTTTTAGTTTATATAATTATCTGATTTGACTTTAATTATTAACTATATTTTATACTATGTGTATAGTACGCTATTTTGCAAAAGAAGTCGTTGTACTTCTGAAGAAGAATTTCTGAAGACAGAATTCTTCAACAATATATATCTGAATGTATCAGATGCATTGCCCCTTTGTTATTATTTTTTGTTGTTATTGTGGGCCTGAACTTTGATGCAGGCTTTAATGATACATTCGTACCACTGGATCTTCCTTAAATGGTGGGTTCTTCCCAGGGTATGGCGTCGGGGGGTTCATGGCACACAGGACTGTCGTCTCCGAGGAGCGTTGTCGTGGTTTAACCGTGGGCTATGGGCTACTGCATTCGTACCAACATGGTTTCAATTGATCCTTTGGTAGGGTCCATGTACAGTACCAAAGTCTGCAGATACCCGCTTAATTTAAATTAATTTTCTCCCTCAGTATTAGTCTGATGAATACTAAAATTCATTGGGTAATATGTATTTATATTCCCCTGAGCATTCCACTCAAAAACTATATTATAATTATTAAATTTTTAATATAAACTTATGCTACACCATCTTACTGATTACTTAATAACAGTACCTATTTAATTTCAGTTAAATGAATACTGACATTCGTTTAATAATTTTTTATTTTTCCAGATATATACTCTGTAGATTAATAATTTTAGTGTAATGAATACTACAATTCATTGGGTAATTTTTTTTATTTTCCCCAGAAAAACATCTAAAAATTATTTTGTTATTTTTTTTGTAAATATAACAAATTTGATTTATACATTAAGTTTTTTATGAATAATAATGTACAACTACTTATATTCATTAATTTAATTATTTTGTTATAATATTAATAACATATAACAAATTTTAGTTTGACGGACACTACAATTCGTTGGGAAGTATTCAATTTCCCTGAGTAATACTCTAAATTTTTGTTATGATCAATATTTTGTTATTATATTCATTAACTTGATTGCTTTATTTTAAAGTATTTATTTTTGATTTGTTACTACAGATTACTATTGCATATATTTATTCCTAGGTAGAACATTGTGTTCTTGTTTTCTTTGAGAAAAATTTCTCAGTTGTGTTTGAAATTTTTCTGAGGGTGGTAGGAGTGTGTAACGTTATAAACGTCACATCTCTATTAATTTATTTTTAAATAAATATTTCATTTTAATTTCTTTGGTAATTTGTTAATTTGTTTATCTTCAGTTAATTTTTACTATTTTTTTTATTTAAAAAATAGTTGGCGCCCTCTCTGTTCCTCTATGTCTTCCTCTGTTTTCATTTCTTCCTCTGTCATTACTTACTTTTTTTTTCTGTCACGTAGGATAAATATTCGCCCTCTCTCTTTGTATTTTGTGTTGACAGTGACTGACACACATTTTCTGTCAGTTAAATGTTCTAATTGATTGATTGTAGACTCATTTTATGGTCTACAAATTCTCTTGGGTTTATCGGAAATATTCACCATTTTTGGGAATAATAATTCAATAACCATTACATTGGGCATTAATTTATACGGTTTTGATTTCTGATAATGCGAAGAATCTGCAAACATTAATAGACCGTGTAGTGGAAGCCTGTGATCGATACAGCATGAAATTAAACTGTAAGACGACCAAAATTCTTGTAGTATCTAATAATGAACCCTTGAAAATAGTCGACAAAATTACATATCTTGAATGCCGCCTAAATAAGGAATGGGACCACTCACGGGAAATAAGATGTATAGAAAATGCTAGATCTGTCTTCTATCGAGATTTTATGTAATATACACCTGAATATTGATATATGAACACGAGTTTTGAGATGTTACGTATTTTCTTTCCTTTTATATAGAGGCAAAGCCTAGACCTTGACGAAGGCAACATCCAAATGATTAGAAGCCTTCAAAATATGGTGCTACCGCCACATGCTAAGAATCTCCTATATCCATCATGTTACAAACAACACCGTGATCCAACGTATGAATAAAGATGCGTATCGTGTACCCTGAACTATTCAGGGCTGCTACAAATAAGATTAAATGGGCAAATGCAATGGCCAACGTCCTTAAGGATAAGGCACCATAAGAAGAAGATCGTGAAAATCAGAAAGATGACATACTTAGGGCATGTAATGCGCAATGAGAAGTACCAACTAATTCAACTAATTTTACAAGGCAAGATAGGAGGCAAAAGATCTTAAGGGGGCAAAAGATCTTAAGGGTGCAGAAGGACATAGTGGTTGAAGAACATCAGACAGTGGGCAGGAATGACTACCATATATCTATTCAGAGCAGCTGTCAACAAAGTTGTATGAACTAACGTGATTGCCAACATCCACAGCACCAAAGAAGAAGAAGATCAAGGACGCTAAGAAATAGAAGAGTAAAATGGAATGACTATATAAACCGATATGCAGACGATACAGTTATTTTAAGTGATGACATGAATGGATTACAATGCCTTTTAATGCCATTGATACAGTGGGAAGAGAGTTTGGCCTAAACATAAACTGTTCAAAAACAAAACACTTGGTGTTTAGCCGTTTAGCACATCAAGATGCACGATTATATGTTAATGGTCATATAATTCAAAGAGTGTCCAGTTTTAAATATCTTGGTTGCCATATTACTGAACAACTAGATCCAGATCAAGAGATAAAATGTAGAATCGAGATAGCCCGCACGACATTTTTAAAAATGATGTCATTCTTCTGTAATGATAAATTGAAACTTTAACTTCGAAAGCGTATGGTTAAATGCTACATTTGATCAGTCCTCTTATACGGTATCGAAGCATGGACATTAAAAATATCCACCATTAATCATCTGGAGGCCTTTGAAATGTGGCTGCACAGACGTATACTAAAAATTCCATGGACGGCTATGCTGACAAATGTGGCAGTCCTTGAGAGAGCAAATGTTGCTCGCGAGCTGCTTGATAACATCAAATGTAGAAAGATGGCCTATTTTGGACACGTAGTAAGGGGAGACCGATATAATATTCTTCAACTTATTAGGATGGGTAAAATCGAAGGACGCAGAAGAATTGGTAGAAAGCAGGCCTCTTGGTTGAAAAATATCAGAAAGTGGACAGGAATAAAGAAAGCTGAGCAACTCTTTAGAATAGCTAGAGACAGAGACAGTTTCGCCATGTTAATCGCCAACGTCAAGGGGACTTGATAGGCACGTTAAGAAGAAGATATAAACCGAATGGCAATAAATGGAGTAGTGAAGACAGTAAAGACGGTGAGAGACGGTTGCTCAAATGAAAGATGATCAGTAGGAAGTAGAAGAAAACTAAATACAGTATCCAGCAAGACCACTTATCTCCAATTAAACATTGTATGTCCAACACTTATTTTATCTTCCAATATCAATTCTACAGACAAATAATTGGTGCCCCAATTTCTATTAACTGCCAATATCTTTATGGAAAACTTTAAAACCCGAGCACTATCCACATCAATGCTCAAACCCACATGTTGGCTACGATATGTTGATAATTCATTCGTAATTTGGCCCGACGGCAGGGATGCTTTGGTGTCTTTTCAAACCCATCTCAATGGTATAAATCCTAGTATCCAGTTCACGATGGAGGTGAAAGCTGATTCATCCCTACCGTTTCTTGATGTTATTATAAAGAAAAATCAATCCAAAAGTTTTCATCACTTTGTTTCTCGAAAACCCACATCGTTGCTTGTATGCCAACTGTCATCATCCACCATCATCGCAGCACCGACAAAAATTTCAATTTCTAATTCAACTGAGCTGCCACCGTGCTTCGGAGGGCACGTAAAGCCGTCGGTCCCGGCTACGAAACTAGTCGCTAAGTTATGTTAGGAGCGCTTGCACGACCTGAAAACCCTAACACTAGACCTTAGCC